AAATAAAAATTCTAAAACAAATTCTAACTACTTTTTAAAATAATTCTAACACTTTATTCTTTTTTTAAAAAGTTAAAATTTCAACTCATTTTTTTAAAATTAAAACTCTAATATATTTTTCTTCTAACATTTATTTTAACTTTTAACCCTTTTTTTATCATAAAACTTCTTACTTTTTATTTTAAATTTCTAACATCCCTTTTTATTTAAATTCAAATTCAAATTGTTTCTCAAAGGTCTCACAAAGCCATATCTCGGTCAATCCTAATTTTTGTCCGATTTCCATCCATCGTTTTTAATATCGTACTCGTTTATCCATGAAATGGCTTACTAACTTTTTATTTATTTATTTTTGTATATTATTTAACATCATTCATCCCTATACTTAGCCCTTGTATATCATTTCAACATTTTTATTGTTTATTAATTTTTCCCTGTTAATTTATTTTCCGTAAATTCCGCCCTCCGAATGAAAGGTCTAACCGTTTGACCGCCATGTCAATAGTCTTTAATCCTCAATCCTTCACCTTTCAAACCATAAGACGTTGAGTCGCCGTACTCATGCTTAGGCGTCCCGCCGTGGACAATTTTACCCTTTACCCTAGCCTTAGAATAAGGAGTCGCCGCACTCCATATAGAGTTCCCGCCGTGGAATATTTTACATCTTTTCAATTCAACCTTTCAACGTAGAAGTCGGAGTCTCCGCACTCCATGCAAGCGCTTCCTTATGAACGTTTACATCCCCTTGAAACCTTGACCACAATCAAGAAGTTTCTATACCTCCCTTTCGAGGGGAACTACGATTACTCTGATTCCATCCCCTACCTCAGATACGTAGACATAAGATGCGAGTCTTGGCAAGTAAACTTAGGACTAACCCTTAGGTCTTTTTTTCTTTACCCTTTAACCCTTAGCATATACCCTTAAGCAGATAACTTTAGCAAAATAGCAATATTAAAACAAGAGGTTCCTGTAGAGTACTACAGAAGTTTAGTGTGCTAATACCTTCCCTAAGCTTAACCAACCCCCGAACCCTAGATCTTCCCCCGCATTGTGTTTACGATGCAAAATAGGTTTTTCCTTTCTTTAACCTTTGCTTCGAATAAAACAAAGACCGTTTGTGAACTAAATATGTGATTCAAATTAATTAATAATTTGATATCCTATTCTCACTGCAACAAGAGACATACATAGAAAGCGTGAAAAGCATAATCATAGTTTAACATAAGTACTTAAACATAAGCCTAAATGATAAGGTTTTAAGTGACAACAGAGAAAGAAACATAAACCAAATTAGCATAAGACATAGGTTCAAAACATAACATAAAGGAAACATGAACATATGACAAGGTTCAAAACATAAATATAATACAAGACACATTAATCACTTTCATCTTCTGATTCTTCCTCACTTTCTTCTTAGTTATTGTCGAGTTTGAGGATAAAAATTTCTTGATCAATGTTACGGTTGAGTTTGAGGATAGAAATTTCATGATGAATGTCACATTATTCTTGGGTCTTAAAGTTTTCAATATGGACCAATTTGTCATAGATCATTTTGTTGGAAGGACCACCTTCAGGCATAAGAGAAAATGAAAAATAAGAACCTACTTCACGATGCTTGTAAATTCCATCCCTATCTTTGAAAACTCTCATGTCTTTCTTAGTAGCGGCCACCATTATTGCATGCTCTTTGGAAGTTATCTGAAGCCTAGAATCTCCATTCATGTCAATGCGAAAAATTTGCATAATCTTGGTAGTCAATATAGAATATGGTAAACCACCTTGTTAAGTCTCTGGGTGTGTGATTGACAGTAATTTTGGTAAAAATAACTTGGCAGCAACATGTTGAACAAGATGTTCTAACATAAAGAAAAATATGTTGAACAAGATGTCTCGACGTCTTGTCTGTTACATGTCTACAAGTTCTTACAGCTGGGGTAATTACAGATTACTAAATATTATGTGAATATTAAGTAATCCTACGTGGCATCCAAAATCGAGGAATCAGAGATTCTTATTGAATTTAAAGAGATTCTATTTTTCTTGATGTTAAAGACACTTTAGGAAACCCTTGATTGGAATCCTATGTTTATGGAGAATATTATGCAGATTTTTAGCAAGTACCTTGTTGTGTTTTGAAGCCTAAATCCAGTCCAGACGCTGCTTATAAATATGATGGCATAACCCTAATTCGAGTAGGAAGTGTATTGAGTGTTAAGTGTTATTTTAGGGTTTGTGTGCATATTAATTGTGAGCCTATATAATATCATCTTGATATAAGAGTAGGACTGTCTCTATTGAGTTGTAGGTTTTGTTAATCACTCCTGAGCTTTTAAGCATTGAGTGATTGTGTGTCTTTGAAGTGTATTTTTTAAAAACATAGAGAGAGTTATAATTCTATCACGGTGGTGATTGGAAGAGAAGTGAGAGGAGTCTCATACCTAGGCGAGTCTTAGGTAGAAGTTAAGCATTGGATAGGTACTGAGTGAGAAGTTATAAACTGGGTTGTTTAGCTTTGAATTGATACTACTAATTGTGGATTTCCTTCCTAGTTTGGTAGCCCCCAGATGTAGGTATTGTTTTACACCGAACTGGGTTAACAACTTTCTATGTTCTGATATTTTATGTACCATTAATTGTGTTTTGTCTTGTCCTTGTGTTTTAACCAGAGATCAGTGTCTCGACATCTCTTAGGATATATGACATCTGTATACCAGAGTTTCACACTTGAAAGTTTCCTTTGAGATATCATGTGATGCATTATAACATTTGCACAATTCATTTGTGTCGTTACGCAAAAAAACAACCGGCGAAGACACAGAATCACCATCAAACTTTATTTATCCCAACGGGGAAAGGAAAACATCAAGAAAACCTCAGAAGGGAGAGAACATGGTCTTGCAACCAAATTCGGGGTTCGGGAGTTGATTACACAAGAGAAAGGTGTTAGCGCCCCTCACGTCTGTTGTACTCAATGAGATCCACTCTTGTTGTTCTAATTAAAGGGTGTGTGTATCTAAAGCTTACTTGCCAAGGGAATGCATGAATGAAAAGGGAAAACAAAAGGGATCTCTCCAGAATCTTGCAATCCTGTACCGACGTATTCCCTCGTGCAATGGGAAAGTCAGAGCAATCGTAGTTCAGAGGACTACGGTGAAAAGGAAGGTTGCTCGCCAAGGATTGAGGCCCTTGTGCCTACGTATTCTCAATAGGAATGAGAAATCATAGCGTGTGTAGTTCGTGGGACTATGGTTTGTTGGTGTTTTTTATGGATGATGCTAATGTTCACGTTCTAGCAGTTATGTGTTTGCCGCTCGCTCGTGAAGTCTTATGCATTACCTATATCGCAGTAGAATGGAAATGACATGCCTTTTCTATAAAGGTTTAAAAGGAAATCCCGAAGAAAAATGATTTGAATTTGTTGAAGTGTTTTTGGTAGAAGAGGAGTCAAATAGACCCTCAAGGCTGGGGGTATTTGAATTCACTCTCCTTTAATTTTGAAAGGATTGGGGATGCGTATTACACTAAAGTCTATGATAATAAGATCAAATACTTTGCACTAACGATCCAAGCGTCTCACGTACACAATATTCTTTCCCATGTGCTTAAGACTCGTGACGTATCTTACGCATCGTACTTATTATGTGATTTTTGTATTTTGATTAAGAAAAAGATTTGGATGCAAAAGAAAGAAAAATCTATGGGAACTAGATCCTAAATGTTATCATGCAAAGTGGTCCTAAGATTGAGATAAAAGGGGAAATCTATCATAATGTGATCATACAAGATGGATCTAAAGTTGAGGATGAAGGGAGATTCTACCCTAATGTTGTCATGCTTGGATCGAAAGCCTAAATCTATCCTACTTCAATCTTAATCGAAAATTAAGTTGAACTAGGAGATCCTAATGGAACATATGAATCCACAAGCAAACAAATAAACAAGGTATAGCTCAAACGTTAAGATGAATTGACAAGAGAAAACGAGTCTAAGACATGGAGACAACAAGTATAGAATAGAACCAAATGAAGAAAGAATTATTAATAAAGTTAAATATAGCTAAGCAAAGGGATTCATGCTACAATTTACCAAGTCCACAAGGTTAGAAGTCAAATTGATTAAACAAATTAATTAAAATAAATTTAAAATCTAATTGATCAAAGATTAAAAACCTAAATATTTAAATTCTAAACACAAATCAAATTTGAGAGGATTAATTTAAAAATTTTGAGATTTTAATTTGGTAGGAAACAAATAAACTAATTAATTAGAAAAATATTTCAAAAGTTTAAATCAAACTAATTAGAAAAATGTTTCTCAACTAATCAAATTCACCACTACAAATTAATTCTAATGTCACCAACATATAAATGCTAAGATGAAATTAAAAGTTAATTACTAAAAAAGTAAAAAGAAAGTATAATGCAAGTGGGTGCTAAAAGCAAAACATATGGGCCTAAAATAAACATAATTAAATTGCCTAACGAAACCAACTATTTTCTAAAACCTAACATAAACATGTGGGAAAACTGTAATGACTATAAAAAACATAAATTCACCTTCTTTTTCTCTCCGTCTCAACTTGCTATGCGCAGGAAAAAAGAGAAGCACCATGTTCACTTTTGTTTTTCCGATCTCGCCTCCTATCCTCTCACAGCTCACGATTTCACGCACGGTAGCATCAAAACTCAAATTTGTCTCTTCTCTCTTGTGTCTCTGCTCGCGATGCTTTCTAACTCGTCAGTTTTTCTCGTGGTGGAGGTTGATGTTAAGGTTGTTGTTGCAGGGGAAGATCAAGGTTATGTTTAGTGGGTTCGTATGGTGGCGGTGGCACAAGGTGGAGTTGTGTCAGTATTTTTGTTGCTGACTGATGTGGTGGAAGCTCAGTTTCGGTTTATCGTGGCGGCGGTGTTGCAGCTTGCACGGAGGAAGCTTGAATTAAAATTTCACAATTGTGGTTTGATGGAGTTTGTTGAAGTTTTAAGAAATGGTTATGATTATAAGAATGGTTGTTTGTATGGTATTTTTTGTGAATCCAATAGTTGCAAATGAGTTGTTGTGGTGGTTCTGGTCAAGAACGGAGAGAGTGTTGAATCTGTGACCATGAGGTAGTTGGATATCTTGTTGGAAGTGTGAATGGCTATGAGGAGTTTGTGTGTGTTAAATGAAGGGTGAGAGTAGGGTTGAGGAGAAGCAGGAATCCACTGAACAATGAGAGAAGGCCATAAGAGAGGATGGGAAATTAACAAATCGTATAAAATAGGAGTGTTCCTCTTCCAAACAGAGAACTCTTCAAGCTCATTTTCAATCTCATTCTCAATTTCGTGTTCTTCCGCCATTTTTGTTTGCTCAAAACTTAGATGCCCTCGCTCGCGCCAATGTTTGAGTGATTATTGCGCTTTGTTTATCTTCAAATCCCAAATTATCAACTTGCAGTTATCTCCACCTGACCCAAATAATTTCTCATCCTTTGTGTGCCAAGACACATCTTCAACAATACTTTCATGGCCCTCGTAAACATGATCTGAGATTCAGAAAATACATCCTACAAGTAAATCTTATGATCATTAGAACCACTCAAAAGCTACCTTTTCTTAAAAGGACTCCAAGACAAACCATAACCTTCTTCATCATAAACCTTCAACCTGAAATCGGGATCATTATTATCTCCTTATTTCTTGGCAAAATCAAACACATAAACCTCAAAATTAAAGTTTTTGCCCTAATAATACTAGGGTTCTGCGGCATTGAACTTGCCTGATTCACCTCTCCATCAATAAGAACCCTTTGAGTAATCTCTACCTTAGGAAGAAAACGGTTTTCAGGGTCATTGGAAAAGATGGGCTGATATGGGTATTTGAGAGAGATTGAGACATGGATAAGTTGAGAGAAACAAAGAGTGTATTTATGTTGTTGATAGGTAACAGAACAAAAAAAAAAGTGAAAGATGAGGTTATGTTGGTGATAATAAAAAGATGAGTGTATGATGAAGCTTTTATTTTAAAAAGAAGAAGTGGTGAGGGAATATGATCCGAGAGATGACTCCTCTTGGTCACCATCAATTCATTCACCAAGAAGAAAAGCAATATCACCCTTTTTTTTGTCATCAACTATCTATCCATTGCAAAACAATGCCACAATTATTACAAAAATATCCAATAACCAATATTACATTTTGCTTTCAACATGAACATTTTGGTAATCAACATATTCATATATTTATACTTGCTAAGAGCTTTGTTTTCATCCACGTGTCAGTTAACCATTGGTCCCAAAACTTTTTTCATTTTTCCCTCTCTTCTCACACTTTTCAGGCTTGTCTATATCTCTTTCTTCTTCTAATATTTATCTCATTTCTCCACAAATCATACTTCACTTTTCTCCACACATCATACTTCAGAGCAGAACATCATCATCTCCCTCGTTTGTATTGCTTGCGAGTGAAAAATAAGAAGGTACATGCTCCTACCTCCATCGTCTCTCTCCCTGCACATCATAGTTCAACCATTGTTTTATTTTTAGTTTTTCTGGTTTTTTGTTTCACAAACCAAGAGTCTGGTTTTTTTGTTTCACAAACCATAGTTCAACCATTGTTTTTCTGGGTTTAAAATGATTGTGGGTTTGATTATCATGATGTTGTTTTGAATCCGTTTTTCTGGGTTTTGAGATGAATGTTGCTTTGTGTTCATCTTTTTTCCCAATAAGAAAGCTACAAGTTTTGCTAACAATTTCTGTACATTTGGTTATTGTTATTCATCTCTGAAAACACATCTGAAAACCATGTCTGCTATGAACTTATATTGTAGTTGTTACTTTTCAGATCACCATGTCTGCTATGAACTTATATTGTAGTTGTTACTTTTCAGATCACCATGTCTAAAGCACCTATTATGATTGCTGATTTGAAGCTAGGAAACAATGTATGGAAGCTCGTCATCCGTATTGTTGATCTATGGACTGTAACCGAGCGTAATGGACAACAACATTTTGAATGTGTTATCCAAGATAGCAAGGTATGCATTATTGTTGTAAATATGTTATCTAACTTTTACATAACTTAAAATATGTACTAACTATTCGTTTGATTCATAGTGTGATAAAATACACGTCATTACCCGCAACAGAGATTTCGGTTTGTGGAAACAGAGGTTACAAGAACATATGTCTTATATGGTTTATAATGGTGATCCATTAAACAACGATATTCCTTTGAAAATCTGTGAAAATCCGTTGAAGCTTTTTTTCAATAGTGGGACCACTGTAACCATGGTAGATTTACCAGAAATACCACCCCATCAATTTCATTTCAAACCCATCGTCAATTTTTTACCCGGAGATTTCCAAGTCAACCGCTTATATGGTATTTAAAATTTTCTTAAACATCATTTGCATTATTACATGTTTGTGAACTAATAGACTAACCATTTGGCCTTATGTCATACCCTAAATTTGTCCTACCCATTTGTAAATATTTTCGCATTTTTATTTTGCATTTTCCATTTAATTTCATACCGCTTAGACACGTGTCCGTCCCGATTGGGCATTCTTCAAATCTCGACTTTTTTATCCAATAGGAGCGCGACACATGGCCTAAGGGTATTTTTTTTTGTAAATTTTAATCCTATGTTTATTCTCTCATTTTTCCGTTCTAATGTTTTATTTTGTATATGTTTTTATTTTTAGCTTTTCATTTAGATAATCAATTTGTTTTTTATTATAATTTTAGAATAGATTTTATTATATTAAATAGAAATAGTTTTTTATTTTTAGTTAGAATAGTTTTTTATTTATTTATTTACTAACTTGTTAAAAATAGTTTTTTTTAGATTATATATTTCATTAGATTTAAATAGTTTTTTGATATGAATTTTATTTTAGAGTTTTAATATTTAGCTAGTTCTTTAGTTTTAAAATTAATTAGATTTGATTTAATTTAGGACTATTTTAGGATTTTAAATTTAATTTAATAATTTTAGAGATATTTTAGGATTTTAGAATTAAGTTAGTAATTTTAGAGATATTTTAGGATTTTAGAATTTAAGTTAGTAATTTTAGAGATATTTTAGGATTTTAGATTTAAATTAGTAATGTTAGAGATATTTTAGAATTTAAATAGTTTTTAGATTTTGATTTTGATTTTAGAGTTTTAACCGTTTTTAATTTTATTAGAAATAGTTTTTATTTTAAATAGATTTAATTATATAGTTTAGAAATAGTTTTTAGGTTAAGTATAATTTTTTAGTGATTTTTATTATTAGGAGTTAAATAGAGTTTTATTTTGTTTTTACATAGAATTTTGTTTTGTGTGAATTTTATTAAGTTTCTTTTTAAGAATTAGTTAGAATTATTTAGAGTTTTTAGCTTATTTATTTGTTTATTATTTTATTAGAATATTTAATTTGATTAGGGTTGATTGTTATTTATTATTTAGATTTTTATTTTATTTTTATTTTTTTATTTATATTAATTATTAATTACGATTTATGGTATTTATTAGTATTATTAAATTATGATTTATGGTATTTATTAGTATTATTAAATTATGATTTATGGTATTTATTAGGATTATTAAATTAAAATTAATTTGTTTTATCATTAAGAGTCAGATTTTATTTAGTTAAATTTTAATAATTTAGATTCTATTTTATTTGTTTATTTAGTTTAAGTTTTTTAGGATTTTGTTTTGATAGTAGTTAGAATTATTTAAATTTATATAAGTAAATATTAATTAGGTTTTTATTTTCATTATTTAGACTTAAAAATAGTTTAATTAACTTTTAATTTTAGAATAGGATTTTATTATTTTTTTACATAGAAATAGAGTTGATTTTAGATAATTGCTTACTTTTTGAATATAGTTTTTATGTTTAAATATAGTTTTTTTTATTTATTTAATTTTAAAAATTATTTTCTTTTTACTCTAATTACTTTTTATTTATTTATTTATTTTTGTTTATTAGAAAACTTTTTAGTTAATATAAATCAAGTTTTAGTTTAGAGTTTATTTAAAGATAGATTTTGTTAATTATGATTTATTAGATTAATTGCTTTAGATTAGAATTAATAGGTTTATTTTATTTTATTTATCCAGAATTATTTAGGGATTAGATTATTTGTTAATTATTAGATATTATTAGTTAGGATTTGTAATTATAATTAGTCTTTATTCTTTAATTGTCATCAGTTTTTTCCTAACCAACTTTCTCTTGAGTGAACTCACGTTAAGCATTTTTTTAGGCAAATCAATCAGCACTTTTAATCCAAAGTCATTAACCCTACAGCCTGCCACGTGTCAACATTCTGGTATATATACTACTATTCACTGTCTCCTACAGGAGGACACAACCCTAATTCCTTCAGCCTCCAACCCTAATCCATATTCCATCACCAGCCGCCAACCTTTCTGTTCAAGTCAAACTCAACCTTCTTCAGTGAAAACCATCGTCACCTTGAACCTACTTCCATTGAAACACCTACTTCAATCTTCTCCTTCAAAAAACTCGCCCAGAACCTACCCCAATCCCACGTGAACAAACTCATCTTCCACGAATAAGCTCAACCCATTTCCAGAAAATGTCAAAGCTCTTTATCACACCACACACAATAACAGAGTCTGTTTCTGCAACACTCAACAGCAACTCAACCCTCAACCAACAAGCTTCGAAATATTTCTCTGATTCACACTCTTCCTCCATTCACCGCACCTTCAGAAATGCAACACCTCCACCGTAAATCTTCAAGACCCACCATCCGAAACCCCCACGCGAAAAAACAAGGTCGCGCCGCCGTCACCGGGAAACTTGTATAACCGCCGTGGCTTTCTCCATTATCCGTGAAACACTATGAAAAGGATGGTCGTGGGAGTGAATCAAAGTGAAAGGAAATTTGATTTTGGAGTTGATAGAGCGAATGTTGAGGGAGAACTCGAACGAGAGGGAGAGATTGATTTGGGAAAATTTGGATCCACCGTTTTTCTGTTTTTATTTATTTACTTTTTTATTTTATTTTTATTATATTGTTGAGTTGGGCTTAGACACAACCCATGTCTGTTTTGAGCAACCATGACCTCCCTATCTCTTCTCTGCACCCCCTAGTTTCATTTTCTTATTTTTTTATATTATATTTTGTATTTTTGTAAATATATTCTCATATACAGTTTATATATGTATTATAGTTGAGTAAATAATTATTATACTATTATTATTATTATTTTGCATATATATTATATTATTTTTAGTTTATATATATCTTTCTTATATTATATTTCATTTAGTTTTTTTTTTGAACACTTTATATTTAAGTTTGAATTTTCTTTTCTTTTAGCATTTAAATATATTTT